TACAGAGAAAGATTTGTCGTCAATGCTACAAAAATAAGAAGCGTACCGATTCCCCGTGGCACTGCATAACATGCGAGAATAAACCCGGGCTTTGTGTCGAATGTTTTGACAACTATCACAGGGAGATTGAAAATTGATTTTTTTATTTTTTCTATTATTAATAAATGTTAAATACCAAAAACCTACTCTTCGCACCTGTGCGTAAAGGGGCCCTAAGGATGAAATTTTCATTCCGGAGGCCCGTTACGCACCGGTGCGGAATTTTTTTATGTCGCCTTTATATACACTAAATTAATATAAGCAGTATATAAATATATATAATTAGTATTATTTAACAGTTTCAAAACCTGACAAAACATAAAATTTCGTAGGCTATGTGCACTCTCTTCACTCATCTTGACGGGCAGTGAAGCTGTTAAGCCTCAGAGTCTCACCCAAATCATCTTATTCGTGAGGCAGCTTCCTATGCAGCCCTACTTCCCTCTCGCTATCTAGTTCGCAGGCCGAGAAACTCTCTCTCGGACACCCCCCCCCCTCAAAAAAGCCACTCAACGGCTACTCTCCGCCTGTGTTCCCTTTCCCTAAGGGGGGTCACTTCTGATACGGTAGAAGGGCCCTCCAGGCCAAAGCCAGTCCCATGTGGTGTATAGTGGGTAGGCACTTAGGTTTCATAGTGAGTACCACATAACCACCTAGCCGGCTGCGTGGTATGCTAAGAGCATTCGCCACCTCCCTCCCCCGCTTCCCGGAGGGTAGCCTTTTACTTTGCTTCAGGGCGCAAAAAAAAAAGAAAAAAAAACCTCGTTCAACACAGTCGGCGGCTAGCTACTTCGGAAGAAATTCTTCAAATATAAAAGGAAGAAGATCTTAGTGATTTTATTCACCACCAACCCAGCACACAATTGTGCCTGTAGGGCACAGGACGATATGGGATAGTAAGTTAATATTCCAACACTACCATTGATTTTAGCAAAGATGAATTTGACACAAGAATTTACTATTGAGCAAGATAAGTATAGTATGTTCTTAGTAAGTGCTTATTCTATGAAAAAAAAAGTTATTGGGTTTTTCAGACTCGGAGTAAGGAAGTTGGCGGCGTTTCACCCACATGCCCGTACGTAAATTCATTGGTCATATGCCTGATCTTTCACCAGTCGTGTCCATATGAGGCCCTATGTGTGCACTATACACGTGCATTTCAGGGCTGAAAAATTACCAACATATTTCGAATTCAGATCTAATCTAGCATTTCCGTAGTGTTTTTTTTATAACCACGAATCCAAACAGTATGCTTACTATTGTAGTTCATGTCTACAAAGTCTGTTTTAATAAACATAAAAGAAAATCAACATCCAAAGAAAAGTTATGTTAAATGATAAATACTAATTCAGACATAGGAATTTAAATAAAATAATGTTTATACAGTTTTAAGTCGTTTATTAAAATAATATTCCTTCAACTGAACACAAGGCATGGGTCCAGACCTAATAATTGAGTTTTCTAATTTGACAAAGATTTTCGCTACAAAAAAAAAACATAACCGGCTCGACGCAGAAGCCGTCTGTCTTTGCCTCCTTAACAATAAAAACAACCTATAAAATCTATCAACATAAAAGACCTTTCAGAGGTATTAGGTATACCCACAGTTTTTACAGTTAAATTTGGCACTGACATTGTTTATGTATAGTAAAATTGTTACTGTCCATCTGTTAATCCCTGACAATCTGCAATTAGTTCTAGATGGTTTTGGCACGCTTTTTCTTATATACTTTAAACCGCGAGAATAAGACAATTGAAAATAAAGATAAAAATAAAAATAACAATTCTTTTTCTCTTAAAAGAAAGCAAATAATTCCATATAATTTCCATAAATTCAGAAATAGTCCTTAAAATATTTTTTTACAGTGTGAAAGTTTATATTCAGAAAACTATACAATACCCATATCAATCAATATTGCACATATCATGCAAAATCATGCCAATAATGGAAGTCTAAACTGATAAAATTGTATATGTTTAAGTCACTTTAGATATATGATTAATGCATAACTCTCGTCATTTGTTTAGTTAAAATTTATTTATTAATCACTGAAAGCACAATTTGCATAGTCATGGGTTCGATATTGCATTTAACAACGTTAAAAATCTTAATAATAACAATAAAGAAGAGTAATTAACAAAAAGAAGTGTTGGACAAAACAAACCATCCGAGAACATTCCGAGTGTGCTATTTTATTATATTTATTTAATAATAATTACAATAATAAATGCAATATTTTTAATACCAAAACTGTTCTAAATATTCGTGAATTTATTTACAAGTGTTAGTCCCTGGTAACAGGACCAACAATCAGCTGTACGGTATTCAAATAAGTGACTTAACACTCAAAATTCTGCTTCTTTATGGGAGTCAGTATTCAACTAATATTTTCTTTAAACTTTTTTTTTATAGAAATAATGTATATATAGGTAAGTAGAATAGTACACTTATCATCTAATATGACACAGTTAGATTAAAACCTACATTTTATACATTTACATCGTTTCCGTGTGTGTACTTACACATATACATAGGATGTTGCAACTATTGCCTTTTACAATTTACAATAAGATTAAGAAAAGTAATAAACAAGAATGTTTCACTTGCTTTACACCAAAACATTTCGTGAAATTAATTAAAAATAATTTCATTACCTGGTTTTAATTAAAAGAGTTCCTTAGTCTTATTTATCGCTTATAGCATCTTCATATTTTTAATATCATTGGAAAAAAATAATTATATTAACGTCAAAACTGCATTTAATTAAGATACCATTGAAAACAAAAACATCATTAAATAAAAATAAGTCTCAATCTTCTTTTATAAAACACAATAGTCCAATTCCAAAAGGCAACACTCACAACAATGTATTAAATATTTTTCACTCGTACAACATGCCTAATCTAATCTACGACAGTCTAACAATTCCGCACAACGGAAAAAACAGTTGTCCCTTAGGGTCGCCTTAATTTTTTACGCTGTACACAAGTCTGACCCTAAGGGAGGTTCTTTTAAAAACTAAAATCATTAATGCTACACGGAACCTTATTCTGGTGCAAGCTGTTCGAAAATTTTAAACATTTTTATTGAGAGAGCAATGGAGGCGGGTTTCGCCAAACAATATTGGTTATATGTTTATTTAATATTCTTTCATTAGAGGTCACATGCCAGGAAAATTATTAAAAAAAAAATTTGTGACATTTTAAAGAATAACCTAAGGTTATCTGTATATTTCAGTTTCGATGTTTACATGCAGTGTTAAGTATGTAGCGTCAAGAGAGCCAATCGTTCATTTCTTTGTTAAAAATACTATCATGGCTGTTGTTGCGAAAAGTAAAAAAAGGGAGTGCATAAAAATTATTGTTGAAAAAATTCAGTCCTAATCAAAATCTCTACAGCCCATCTTCACTTGATATAATCAAGATAAAGTTTTTTTTTTACTGTTTAAATGCAGTGATGGTTATACTCCCATAAACATTATAGAAGACATTTTAATTTAGATAGATTTCATGTTTAGTGCATTTGCATACACAACATAGATAATAATTAATACTCTTGTGTTTCGAAATTTCATTGGTAAAATAATTGAATTATAAATGAATATAGATCACCTTCCAGACTTTCATTGTTTATAAAAATAATAACGTACATATACCGACGGGATAATATCGTTTAATAGTTATAGAGAAATTAAAAAAAAACTTATAAAAGAAAGTGGTTTTTTATTTTTATAATCTCAACATATTAAAGAGGATTTTTGATGTACAGCTATAACTGTTAAACTATATAGCGTCGGAGTCAAAGCTAGGAGGTTAATTAGCTGGTTAGTTTCTAGCAGATATTGTTGTGACTAGTCATTGAAAACTGAAAATTGTCCAATGAAAGAGTGGATTTCGAAAATGAATAAACGACTTGGTTCATGATGGCGTTACTTGAGATCATGGTTAGTGACGAAAATGTACATTTTAGTGTTTATATAAAATATAGTCATGGTTTGACGTAAACTATTAAATTTTCATGTACATTGCGTTCGCATGACGTTTAGAAATATCGCACATCTGGCAAAAATAATGATGCTTAGGCCTTTCTGAAATATTTAAAGAAAAAGATCGATAAAATGTTGTGTACACAAAATGTCGATATTCCCGAATGTCATACAGGTAAACCCGTGTATTTAGCACCCGACGAAAAAAATGTGTCTGAAATCACACTGAAGTTTTTATAAATTTGAAGAATCTTGTTATGTCACAACCAACACAACTTAGTTCATTGAATGGCTGCTAGATGGAGTTGGTGATATTTTGTAATCGTTACATTTATTACGAAACAGGTGGCGTTACAAACAAATTGTCAATTTAAATTTTTTAAACACATTTTGAGGATATTAGAGAGAACTACTAAGAATTGCCAAAAATTTTCAAATTGACAATTTGTAGATTTGCTAGGAAATTGTTAGGAATTGTATATATACTGTGTTTAAGTGGATCGTACAGATGTTTATACTTTAGTTAAAAAAATCCCTAACAATATGTTCCTTTGCAGTGATCAAATGTTAAACCTCAACTAGGGTGTTGTAGATGTTTGTGCACACAAACCATATGAAAAACGGATGAAACACAATATATTATTAATCGGGTATAAGCGGACAGCTACAGATATTATTAATGCAATTGTAAACAATTTAAAAACGTATTTGTTTCATAAAATAATGTATATTAATAAATTGTGTCGTAGAACATTCAATAGAGCCAATAAACCAATCTAGCAGCATTCGAACAGACACGTGCCACATCCACATCGTCACACCGATGTAACTGACAGAATGTACCGTCACCAAACTGAACCCGACCGACAGCAACAAAACACAGTCACTTCTCACACCTGCCTCCACAGCACCGTCACGTAATCGGAGCGTCACAACACAAACACAACACTGTGTCAAGTGGCACATGGATCGTCACTAGGACACCGATATGACCTCGTGTCCGGGCCGGGTCTGGGCAGCGCGCGGCCAGGACTGCGAGGTGAGCTGGCCGACGGACAGCGGGTTGTTGGCGTCGCGCGGGTTGGTGCCGACGGGGTGGCGCGGCGCGGGCGGCGGGTCGGACGCGGGCGACGCGAGCGACGACAGCGCGCTGAGCCCGCCCGGGCTCGACGCCGAGTTGAGCGGCGTGTCGGCCTCCCCGTCGCTCGACGCGTCCGACAACTCCTCCAGCTTCACGTCCTCCTCAGAGCAGGGCGACTGGGGAGTCGCCATCGGGTGCGGCACGCTCCCCGACGCCGCCGCCAGCGCTTCTAAGTAACGTACGCACTTCTTCTTCCGCCTGCAATCACGTTTTATATAATTAGTGACTTACTTATGGACAATATTTTTACCGATAGTCTAATTGTAAGGTGCACACTGGACTGGAAAAACTTATATTTAGACCAATGTTATCATATGCTTTTTTATCAGCTTGCGTCTTCGTAAAATTCTTATCGGAAGAGATTAAAACTTTTTCTTTATTTTAGAATTATTCATATTAGGGATGTTTGAAGATATCTACATAAGCATTAGCATAATTTTTAACATCTGGATCATCTGTCTCGTTTTTAAAATTAAGACCACGCACCGTGCCCGAGCGCGTTAAATAGCCTACCTCCTATTATCTCGCAATAACTTAAGTTGTTATGCAGTTAAGGCCCCTTTTTGCGAATGTAGATGCAAAATCAGATATTAAAAATAAGTGGATGCCTAAGTGACTGCGAATACAGATATCTGTATCATCCCTAATCCAGGTACGAAATCATTAAAAGGCAATATTCACAAATTTAAGAGCAACAATTATAATCTTCAAATGAATTAAAATCTATTAAAAGCACACGTAGAATGAGTTGTTATATTAATAAAACACAACAAAAAAAAAATGTTACAAATGTTAACTCTAAACATGCTGAAATTGTTACAAATGAAATAAAACAAAAGAAATAAGACTAACTCACTGAAGCCACATTTAAAACCAACGGAACGCAACACTCATGCGGCGCTAAGTAAATTGACGCATACCTACTTGTATTTACACGTCGTTCAACAAAACACATTTATAAACTATTTCTACGACGATATGCACACTGGTAATAGAAAAAGCTCTTTAACTTTTAACTTCATTAAAAAAAGCTGAATGTAGATTTGTTTAATGAAGTGTTTCGCATTTCTGCAAATTGAAAGTAATTAGTAACGATCTTGTTGGTGGATCAGTTTTGAAATGGTCTCATTTTACCATTTGCACCATCAATATACGAATAGGCAAAATTTTTGGTTGTAGTCGACATCTAGGATAGAAGGAGTGAAGTTTTTATCTATAATCAAAAACCTTCGTTTTATGGGTACAAAGCGGACGCTTTGTTAGTTTAACTTTATAAATCAAATTAGGCGTCGTAATCAATACCAATTGCACATTATATATATTTATAAGTGTCACAAATACTTTTGATTGATCTCAGAAGACGTCATTTTGAAAACCATGCATTTAATTTGCCATAGTAACAAATTTTATTGCAATGAAAACATATTTAACAATAAAGGTCTACCAAAATTTGTTAACAACTTTTACAACAAATTACATAAGTGATATAATCTATGTTACGAATATACAGACTAAAAAGAAAAAAAAAACAAGAACGCAATCGGCATTAACGAAATTCCATGCTGCAGCGAACTAAACAGCGTGATGTCGACTCAATCAACTGACCGTGGTACGTCCTGCGGCGGTGGCGGACCGGCACTAGAGGTTCACGTAAGTGGGTTCTTGTGGGGGGCTTCCCACCAGACTGGCGGGCGGGAGCGGGGTCGTCGCTTCGGGCCGGAGGAGCCCTAGCCCGCCCGACACCATAACGCTACTTGACTCGGGGCTGATGCCCAGGAAGGTCAACAGGAAGGTTAAAGAAGAGTCCGAAATGAAAGGCGATAGCGGATTTGTTAGCAAAGTTAAACGGGACAGAATATCAGAAAATACATATAATATAACATAAAATTAAGAAATTAACACATTAAATTCAGTATTTAAAAAATATAAATAAATACACAATAAAAAGAAATATCAACAAAACGTATAAAAGTAGCAAAACATTATTCAAAGACCACACAGAGTAAGAATATTACAATAACAATAAGATATTACAAATCAGAAATAATAAAGTAAAGAAAGTCGAGTCAAGTGGAGTTTGGTGTAGAAATTGAATAATCGGGGCAATATACGCGTAAAATTTTACCAATAGTGCCAGCGGAATCCAGCATCGATCCATGAGAAGCGGCAATCATGAGTGGAAAAAAACATTTCGATAAGTATAAACATTATTTACTTCACACTAAATAATTCTTTAATAAGTTCCGAACCTTTTCGTTAATAAAAGCGAGCGTAATTCAGAAAATGTGTCAAGATTTTTTTGAAAGTTTTCTTCGACAATGATTGCCTTTCCTCTGATGATCTCTGACGCATCTATATTTGTCTAATTCCTATTAATTCACTACCACACTTTGTCTACTTTCAAAAAAATCTATTCCGTGTGCTTTCTACGTTGTATCATACTTATTTCTTTGTGAAAAGACACATTTTCTGAATTCTTTTCTGCTTCGCCGTACACGATTCGTATTTGACCAGACTCTTTTAGAGTATGGTAAAACGAAAAACATTGATACCGTAAACATTTGAAAACAAAACAACATCAACTACAGATTTTTTTGAATCACAATAATATTTTACAACTAATACGATAATAACATTTAAGTTACGACTGGGCTCCTCTTGCCATATTTCGTAAAGACGAAAAGATAAGCCAAGTCTTTCCACATAGAAACAATATAATTTTTGGAAGAACATATTATAATTATCTCAAGAAAATTCCTTTAGACGATTTTGTAAATAACTTTATTGCTAAGCGTTAAGAAGTTTCAACTACCCACCTGCAAGGTTTACACCATTGGTTTTGTTGATCAAGGCCGTATCGCGCCCGACATTTCTTCAAATTATTTCCTGGAAGTGCCACAGTAATTCTGTTAGAATACGTCGCAAAATAGATTCATAAATTAGGCAAATGTCTACTAGATTTTACTTTAAGAATCGTTAAAATTGGATTTTATAGCAAATTAAAAATTCATCGGCAAATTAATGGTTCCACCATATGTTGTGGGAATAGTGACTTTCTAAAAATAATGTTGATCAAGTTATCTGGTTCAGAAAGCGGCATTATTTAAATTAAATTAAGTGGTCTCACATATTTATTATTTAGCAGAAATAAATTTACTGGAAATCATATTAGAAGCATCTTAAAATAACTTGGCTACGCTAAAACTACGAATAAGCATACATGCAACATACCCCTTCAAACTTGTTAGTGTCATGCAGGGATAGGAGTGGGAGAAATAAACAGGAATAACGAAAAAAACATTGGTTTAAAAAAATAGCGCACTACTCGCTCTCATTTGGAAAAAAAATAGGGCTAGCTACGCTATACGGAAAACAAAAACAGTCACAAATAAACATGACGCTTATAAGCAAATTGAAGCAGAATAGGTTCTCCGGAATCAAAATAAATATTTATGTTCATTTGGCCAGTATCATTATACAAAACACCGCAGAAGCATCGGCAGCTTTTGTCTGAATTTAAGTATCAAGTCTTCGCTCCTCTGAGGTAGGACTCCGTTACAGAATTGCTCATCTTACATAATACCGTTATGTTCTCAGCTCTTCATGCATACAATATATTTCACTCTACACCTTTGCATACTTGAAATATCTCAAGAAGGCTGTCCCAGCCCACACAGAGTATATCTAGTGTCCCTGCAAAGCAATTACTCATAATATGTTCAAATATTGACTGCTGGATCATATCATGCACGCTCCCCGAATACGTAGGCGGCACTTTGGAGCAGGACGGAAAGCCAAAAACCGGGACAACCTTCGAAGGAGTGCCACTTACTCAGGGTGTTCTCATAAAATAGCGTTGTAATTACAAAAAAATATATAAATAAATATATGCGATAAATATTAAATAAAATTCAATATAAATCTACGACCTGGACCCCTTCAACCATAGACATTCGGCAATAGTTCTAATTCGCATGGTTGTTGGAACCAAAGTTCAAAGTAATTGAACTCGCGCGAGTTGATGGCGGGAGAGGGAGGGAAACGGGAAGAGAGGGGAGGGAGCAGCCAACGTCTCAGAGCTAATCCTTCATTAATTGACCTCATTTTTTTAATGAGTCGAAGCGTGCATATCGCAATCGTTGTGAGACGTCCGCTCTTTAAGGCCATGTGTCAGATTGTGATCAAGTTAAATTTATTTTTTATTAGCTCTCTTTTTTTGCATCGTTAAATGACACACTGGTTTTCTGACAAATGCTTAAGGAAGGGAATTTCAGGATGGTAATAGTTGAAGAATGATAGGATTAAAGGAAAAAGGAATTCGACGGAGCGAAAGGCAGTACCTCCATCGATTGTCTCCTGTTTTCGTTTCCTCTTCTTGCCCCTTTGCGTATTAGCCCTAGACGACCAATCGGGATAGAGTTGCATGTGTAGCTGACGTTCCCGTCGCGCCAACTCGTAATACTTGGCTTGTTCCTCCCGGCCGAGTGCGTGCCACTGTACCGTCAATGGGCAGCAATATGGAAAGAAAAGAGAAATGCACTTCGACGGCGGCCCAACACGGCTCGGCTCCGTCCTAAAAGCTGGTGCTAGAAAAACAGCCCGCTGTTCGCGTCCCCACGGCAATTTTGATCCTAACGTGAATGAGAATGGCCAATTGTGTTCCTCACAGAACCTATTCTGCGGTCGGTCGTCGCGCCTATACATAGAACAAACCAATGTTTCCGGGGGTGTAAGGTAAACAGTACACGGTCACTCGACGACTACAGTACACAACAGGCAACAGCCGGCCGGCGACGGTTCCGGCCGCTTTTCTAGCACAGGTACCGGTGGAGGAGAGTACACACGTACACACGCACACTCACATACAGGGAGGGGGGGGATTACGGAGTCGTCAGTGTGGACGCAAGCCGGACGTTAGTTAATGTTAGGGGACGCGGGCATCGTGAGCGAGAGTCTCCCGGTTAGAGGATGGAAGAGTCTCGCTCTGCCCGTTGCGGGACGGGCATGGAAGGAAGGTGAAGCGAGTGTACACAAGCGTCGACGTGACCCAGCCCCTCGCGTGTCGGGTTACAGTTCCTAAGTTCCAATACCTCCCAATTCAGCGGGACCTCGGTCCTTTTTCCGCTTTTTCTTTTTGGAACCGTAACCGTAGTTGTCCCTCGCGCTCCACCCGGGGTATAGCTGCATATGGAGCTGTCTCTCTTGCCTCGCTTTCTCATAGTACTTTGCCTGCTCCTCGCGACTCAATGAATGCCACTGCGTATTGACACGAGTATTGCACATTACGGGGTGTCCACATCGGCACCGAGGACTTGCATCACCTCATGAACATTCAATTCGTTGGTCGCGCTTGAATGATCATGAGTAAACAAGATCATGATTAAACACAGTTGCTACTCTTGTTAGGAATGAGATTGCGTTCTAGGAAACGGCTAACGGGTTTGATTCTCGGTAGCGGTCCGCGTTACGGTCATCGTTATTTATTATTCAATACATCTAGTATAGATTGCCGATATGGCGGTGTCTTGGGCACGCTGCATTGTCTTGCAACACGAACGATATGTTTACATGACTCCTCGCGAATCGCATTCCTAACAAGATTAACAATGAAAACATCGCCTCTATATGAAACAAAACACTGATTCAAGGATAAAATGTTAAATTAATTATATTTTTACTTGACGTATTTAAAACAAAATGGCCAGTTTAAAATTATTTTGGACATTAACAGGTATGACCAATAAATGGTTTCAAAGAAAATAAAGTGAAAATAAAAATACATTGCATTCAATTCGAACTCACCCGTCTGCCAAGGATCTGGTTGATCGCTGCGGACTCCTTAAGAGTGCATTCAGCTACAACTTTTGCCCTCATTTCTTTCATGTATAACATGAAGGCGTTTAGGGGTTTCTTTATGTGAGGCTTCTTGTTTTGCTCTTTATTGTTCGCGCTAGCCGTACCTTCGGATTGTTTTTCGCTTGCGCTGCTACCACTACTCTTTTCTACCTGTGATCTGAAATAAAAGAAACAGGTATATCAAACCCACAAAAAATAACTATGCACAAAAAAGTGTTAGGATAAACAGACGATAGCTCTTTTATTTTTTGATGCCTATAGTTAGTCAATAGTTATATTTCACACATTTAGTTTGAAGGTCGACCTTTGGGCTATCAGTTACAGAAAGATTAAACCTCACTTTTAATTTTAGCGTTTTTATTTACTCTAAGCGTAGTTAAATTACATATAATCTAATATATAAAAATGAACATTCAACACATCGTTTGTTTTGACCACTATTCGCTCTCGTGATCGGTTGAATGGTGTGCATTCAACCGATCACGATTAAGCTTTGGTGAGTTGTTGCGTGTGCCTTCACGAAAGTTTCTGACATTAAATATATATTTGCTTGTTTGACCGTTTTCTATATTATGTTAGCATACCATTTATACGATCGCGCGATCGTTTCTAGCAAAAGAGGTATTGCAAGTTGCAACGCATGACGGATACAGGTATTCATAAATATTTTTGATTAAAATTGAGATGCTATAAGTATAGTGCAATAAAAGTGACATTTCGACTCATTATACTAAGATGATTTGACTCATTAATAAGACCAAGGATTCTGGGTAAAAAATATTTTAGTTTGACGTCTGAGAAACAATAACAAAATCATTCTCAGAATAATCGCCTGCCCTTCCTTAATTTTAATTTTCTTTTTCTTAGAAGCCTAATATAGGATGATTAAAATTGAGTGACACGGTTGCCATATAAAAATCGATCTATCAACTTTATCAGCGCCGGAATCGATATGTTAATAACGAGTTAAGGTGTTAACGACACCCAGACGGGCGACAATAAACAAGCGAGCGTCCGGTTGGAAATAGACGCGGCGTTTCCGGTGGCGCGCGCCCGCAGACACATGCATTGTAGATATGGTTACACGATAGATTTCGTATTGAGTACCAGCGACCCAGATCGCTCTGTACGGTTGTTAGGAAGGATTTTGCATAGCCTTTTTACGGGGTAGAGTCAGGCTGTATCTATATTTGGTTACAGCACCATCAGCATAATATAGCAGCTAAAACTGCTGTGTTTCGCATGTTGAGTATAGAGAACCGGAGACACTATTTACAGAAAACGAGACATCTTAGTCCTCGTCCATCTTAGTCCTCGGTGTGACAACGTATTTGCATTTTGATTCTTAATCGAGGATAGTTGTGGATCTCTATTGGCCAAAGCATCCACTCACCATCACGTTAACTGTGTGCTCGTTTATTCTCGTAATAGTTTATTGTGTGCTAGTTTATGCTTATTCTATAAAAAGTCTCTGGCAAGCCTTTACCCTTCGTGGCAATACTTACTTAATCCTTATCTCAGCAGGCAGGCACGTTTTTAAACGCCTCGAACGCGAAGCGAGAGTGATTGGGCTTTACTGTTTATTATTTTGAGTTGTTATCGGTAAGATTTCACCGTCACTACACTGCGATGGTATAATATCAAATAAGCAATTTTTTTTTCATTCAACAGTTGTTTGTTTGCTTTACGAGCCTGTTATAGTCCACTAATGGAAATCATCCTCCCTAATTTCCATTGTTAATCACCACACCACATTTAGCATGGGGATTGGCGTTTGCGATAGAATGAATTAAAGAATATCTATAAATAGCCTGAACCGTTGGTAGTGACGACGATGCGACGAAACGCCATTAATTTGATATATACGGTTTGCATTCAATCTACAACTAAACAAGAGCCTCTCTACCGGAGAAGAACACCCATATCATCAGATATGGCAAGCAGATTACCAGATTGACGAGTGCAGTAACATATCGCATCTTTGACACTACTTATCGGCTGGTGTGGGTATTTTATTACATCTGGCGTACAAGATGGTTACACAGTCAAATATCGAAGGTATGGGCACACTTTTATAGCATCATTATAGGATTCGATTTCACCGTGTCGCCCTAAACGGTGTGAAGTAGTTAGTAAAAATATTTATTAATTTATGTTACCGTTACAGCCATTAAAGTCCATTGAAGTCCATTTGCCATTAAAGTTTTGCAACCGCAGTTTATTTTTATTTTTAGTCGTTATTAGGAAGAGGCTACTGCCCATCCCCTGATTTGTCCTCTGTCGCCTCTTACGACACCCACGGGATGATATGGAGTGTAGTGGATATTCTTACACCGCCACAACACGTTAAATTTGTCTATCTAGGTACTACGTTACAATTTTAATTAAACTGTGTGTTAAAATTTTATGTTCGTGTTAATATAATTACATCTACATTTGGTTTCATATATTATATACACATAGATCGTGCATTAGATCGCCTTTGTTCAGCAATGGGCCTTTGATTAACTCATAATTGAATAGTTTTCAAATATTCTTGAATAATTTCTGTATTTTGGAGACTTCACAAATTTACTAACTCAATGAGACTTTATTAATTAACGGATTCGCGTTAGCTCAGTCTTTCACAGTTTATCATAGATCGTCCTGCAATAGGACGGTTATTCAAATATTTATAGTTTGAACATATCAACAAAACGAAACAATCATTAAATCTTCGGGACATGGATACTGCTTCTAAATTATGACCATCAACAAAAATAAAACAACCGTCCCGATATAATGCAAATAAAAATACAACACGCACAGTTTTCAAAATAGCATATCACAATCTGTACCGAAATTAATAATCACAATGTTTGAAAAATAAACGAAACGTCTGAAAAACGACTTCCTGTGTGCCTGCAAGATGTACAAAACCGAAATAGAACCTATAAAATATATTGTCAGAGACATATTAAACGTACGCTCGATACGTCTAATATAGACTTTTATTCACTAAATTAGTTCCGAGAACGTTTGGGACGGTCAAATATACGACTTCCTTAATGCGCGAAGGCGAGTTGGTTTAAAAATGTGTAAAAGGTTAAAAAGAAAAGAGAGAAACGAAAATCCCGGGCACAATGCGCGTACACTTCCAAATGAGGTATTCAGTGGCGTGCAGGCAGTGATTATGTGCGGCGTACTGTCGCAAACAGCTGCTCTTTACAGAGAATATTGATTCAAAACGACTGGAGATAAATATACAGTTTGGAATCTCGCGGAAGGATGGCGTCGAGTGCAAGTTGAAAAATTGTTTTGAACTGTTGCGATTTGCTTTTGCATAAATACAGGTGTAATGTTAATAGTAGAAAAATAAGGAGGAATATAACGTGACGACCGACTGATGATTAAATATACAGACCGGTGATTGGCAACTAGCATCATCAGCGTAAAGAGGGTCTCGCCTCTACGCTTACTAATCCGACTAACCTATATTGAGGACTATAGCAATGCCTTCTGACGCGTTCTTAATAAGATGAAACAACAATAAAAAATAATTTGCAAAAATATGAAAATATAAAATATGAATATGAAAATATAAAATACTAAAAAAGAGCAAATAAGAAGACAATAATATGTAACTATACAACTTACGGTAAAATAATAAAATAGTACAGACAGGCTACCATAAGGAAGGTCCACAAACGAGACAATTTTTTATTTTAAATCTGACAGTTTTAATAAACAGGGACAAGCGAAACACACATTATTTATAGGCTCTCATAACACAATGCCACATGTTATATCAATTGCATTTAATTTTCAGTACTTATTTAATGCTTGATGTGTCACATAAAAAAAACCTTATCTCGTGATGAGAATCTCAAGCTGTCCCCGGTTGTCGTGGCGAGTGTACCTCAAAGTCACAGTGGCCCGTTAACCCGCGGCGTCTCATATATCATCTTAATTAAATTTCTCCACAAGCACCTTATTTACATGATTGTACCTGGGCTTTTATGTGGTTGAATGTTTGGTCCACTGTTAGCGAGTCAACAAGCGGAGCGGTTTAAAAAAATATTTGTGTATTTAAATAAACCTAAAACAGTTTGTTAGAATTACTTAAATATGTAAGTTTATTTTAAAATTGAGTATGTTATAAAATGGTAAAACTATATTTTTTAAGATATTAAAATAATAAAACTAAGATCCTCAATGATTACACTCTTTGGCTTTGTTGTTTCTGATCGGAAAAGTAACATTGAAATTAACTCTTATAGACATATCCTTATTTGCTATATAAATTGCATAATATCAAACGTTGTTGTCCAAATCAACATCGCCTATAGTTAAAAGTTATTAGCACACTAAAAAGAAATACTGGTATGTAAAAGTAAAAAAAAAAAACATTTAAATAAAAATAGCAATTCCGCTGTAACTGTGGCCCACCAATTAGGCGTGTAGTGATTATAAGTATATATATTTTTGACTGATTCGCCGTGTATAAAATGATGACGCGTTGAAAGGTGTAAGATTACAAATTCCTTTCTGCATTACCACATTACCAGTCACACAAGGATCCTGTATTCAATTAATTACAAATTAAATTCGTATAGATTTCCCAATTATACTACCGATAACCAAAAAGGTATCTAATTTCTAACGATTATTTAAAGTAATATTGAAATATTGTAACTATTTTTTATAAGGCAATTTCGATCATGATTTTACAAACTAATGTTGAAAAATTTTTGGCGGGAACTTATCCGGAAGTGGACAGCTGCTCCTCTTGTCTCATCGTTTTTAATGGTTTTGATGTTGATTTAGATATGTAAAATAGTGTAATTTTGGGTATTTGATGTCTGTGAATGTAAGCTGTTAGTGGAAATTATTAAATAAATGGTCCGGTGAAGGTATTATAAGTTTTAGCTGCAATGAGATACCTTCGACTGTCTGCTGGCTTTAATTGTCATCAACATCTTTCAAAAACTTCGCAGTGTGGCGCATACTGTGAAGAATTTCGTGAGAAAATATTATATATACGATAATTTCAAATTACTTGACGCTGCAAAAAGTACTAGGCGTACGAGTCCATCGTAGGTGGTAGAAAGAACTGGATGTTATTGACTGAGCAGTTAACGGTGATGAATGTTGTTTTGGTCGATTTCGACCACGGCGCTATATCCTTGCTCTCCTTATTTAGTGACATTACGCAAGATACTATACAGCCACAAAATTTCTGCACTTTGTTAGAGCGGACATTTGTTCGTAGTTTAACGCATTCATTTTTGCCTTTACCAGTCAAATAGTCGAAGTATTATAATTATATATGGCATGTGCAATATATAGGACAATTAGAATAAAGCATGACCAGAAACTATGTGTATTGAAGCATGTGTTGGCTCTGGCCGGGATTGTTTGCTAACCCGGGGCCCGTTCCGCAGCCAAGTACTCTGACTACTACGCTACACAGGCGGCGCGGCGTGTGCCTATTTTTTTTTTTACTATTTCTACGCCAGCGCTAGCTTACTATCCTACCTGATGGTACGTGGTGATGAAGCCGATGATGGTAAGTCGCAGAGTTAGCTTAACAAAAGCCTATTTTGTCTCGCCTTAAAGACGCCCACATTGTAATTAAACGGAAAGTGTTTTATTTTATTAAAGCATACTAGGTACATATTAGTTTTGAAAAGCTGCTACATGGTGGTGCAAGAGAATCCATTACCACATTTCGCCCAATACGTGTCATAAGGTGTGAACTACATAAAAGGTGTTATGAATTAGGTTTATATCGTTTGTACGATGAGTCGCACATATTTCACTATAACCTATATGTATACCTATTTCATTTTGTAAACTTAGTTACTTAGCACTCTTACTAACACAGCACTTTTATGCGCCCGACACTCATCGATCATGCATTGTGCATTACGAGGATTTATATCATGCAGTAGTTTTCTTATCATAATAATAACTAATTAATTATCATATCATAGGAACCTTTATATAATCTTATATTATCTATCAACAACTGTACGAATTACACCCCACATCGTTCATTGCGACCCTGCTGCATCTTTAGAGGATTCAACTCTCGATACGAAATAATTTCAATTCTAATTCTTTTAATAAATAATATGAACGCCTTAGAAAAAAACATTGTCCTGATCCAACTGGAAAAAATATGTCGTTTATGATTTCGAGAACCAAGTGCTCTACTATAAAAATACTTATGAACAGCAGTGGTACTTATCTTACTGTTATTTTTCAGGGTATAAATTGAGAATAACCATTGATAAGGCACATATTCAACCTTTTGTAATAAATAAAAAGTTTTATTGCAACTTCATTATCCTCAAACACAATAAACGTTAAAAATAAAAAGGTAACAAACAACATTTTTAATAAACACCCTAATACGATTTTCTAAAAACGCATCTGTCAATCCGTCGCCCCTACTCGCGGCTTATCTTCAATCTGCTGATAAGAGGGGGTTGGCAAAGTTTATCCGTGTAATATTCGTGCGATAGCATCGCGCAATGATACCTTATAAAAGGGCGTATGCTGCTACAATGCAGTTTCGTGTCGCGCATTGATTTTGATTGAGGCGTTTATACTAAACGTTGTTATTATGAATTCGGATTCATGGCATGTAGTCATGGGTCGTTTTCGCTATGTTATTAATGGCGCGTGCCTGGAATCGTGTGATATGCCTACGGAAATAGGAACAAAATGGCGTCGATAGACGTCACGTTATAACTCATGAACGTGACGAAATGAGTATCCAGCCACTAAATTATTCATCATCTTTTTTTACGTTTCAAATTATTCTAATATAGCTAAACAATTAATCGTTTATAAATTTACTTATTTTAAGGGAAGAGCCGTCGTAGTTCTGGACTTAAGCGCCCACCGTAAAACAACACGCATTAATCATGACCTGTGACGATCTTAGTGAGTGTGAGTGAGTCCTTGAAAATTATTGAATAATTATCGGTTCTTATTACATCTGCAAAATTTCAAGTTATTTACACGTACACATAGGCAGGTCCAACTAATGAAAGCGTCTTTAAAAAGGTCATTTACTGAATTGAAAAACAGCATTTTCGCACATACTCCTGAGCACAGGCATCCTCTCATTACTGTGAGGACTATAGGGATCTACAGCGAGTTGCCCTAATGTATTTCGGGGGACTTTACTTGTTTCGAAACATTTAAAAAAATTTTTAGACGTGCAGGTTTCGTCACGATGTTTTCTACCACGGCTCTTAACATTTAAAAATTTTAGAATGTTTTTTTAAAAATCAAGACTGCCAGAATTGCTATAACTTTTTATTTATTTTGATTAATATTATATTCTTCCCGAGTTTCTGGCAGACCGATATTTTTAGTTTTGCTAAAGTAAGCGAATAAAAAAGGGTACACTGGTGTATAAAGGTGTAAAACGTAATATCAAAGGTTTGACTTGGAAGTAATGTGACTGAGACAATCGATACCATATTATCACTGATTATTTTAGGCTCGAGCATTCAAACGCGGAATCATAAGTTTCCAAAGCAATAGTCCCGAACTAAACCATTCTATAACGTGCCCAACGTGGCACGCATATTCACTTATGCGCAGAATGTCCTCAGATTGGCTCCATACATCGGCATCGCGATCGACGTGATAAACTTCGTGAGAACTAACCTCCATCGTTTCTTAGAACTTATTCGTTTCTAATAAACATCTATTTGATGACGCCACACATTACCTTAATAACATAATGTACCTTTACTATACTAATGCGATCTTTATGCTTTCGATTATTAATTTTTCAACTTTTATGACCTCAGAAAGTTAAAACAGTTAAAAACAATAATTATTTTTTCAAGTCTGGTTCAGCACCGAAAGTAGGCCTCGATCATTCCTCGTTGTTTTCGCCAGTGGATAAGCTTCATTAGAAACAACTAAAGGAATAAAAAAAATGTCGCGGTTATACCAACTCAAAAGCCTAAAAATCTCAGACTACTAAGCCTAATTCGACTAGAAATCCGTCTACCAAGCATTTATCCTCAAAGTTGAAAAAGGCTCATGTCAATAAGTGGACGTGGTCTTATTAGCCTAATAATATTGGAAATTGAATATTTCGGTAAACAACTGGTTCAACTAACTACTTCATTTTCATCATTTTCGAATCAATCATCAAACTTCTTTGAACTAATTTTTGTGTTTTGAATTTATTGCAATCACACATCAAACATTGAAAAATCTAATTTTTATTGGTACCATATCAATCTTACCTTGGATGGTGTGAAAAGATGTCCACTTTTGATGGCGGCGCTGGGACCAACGCTGGGCTCAGTCCAAGCCCCAGCCCGCCGCCCAACGTCGGCGAGAACCGATATAACTCACTGTTAACAAATAAATAACATACTCTATAAAATTTATTATAGAAATTGTGATATATTTCAACTTTACCAATAAAATATGTTACAAAACTAAACATTCTCTTGCCTTATTACAAAAGAATTTTTAATTAGTCTTAGGTTTAAACTAGAACCTGATTTTGGAAAGAAGCCCCTCAGAAATAAACGAACTGAAATATTAAGTTTCAAGTCAAATTTCGCGAAAACTGTGGCGCCACGGTCAAGGGACTTTCTTACAACAACTATTTAAACCACAGTTTATACCCAAGACTACCAATAAACCACTTTTAGTAATAAGAAGGTGTAAGTCTAGGTTAGTTAGGTTGTAAGCCTTTTTACAATATCACTTATAAACAAATCTCTTAAGCCAGTGGTTCTTAATCAACATCGATATGATACTATACTAAATACTGATATGATACCAAAAAGTACATATTAGTAATAAAATGAATGTAGTTAATTTTGCATTATGTTTATAAACCCCAACTAACTTTTTTTCACTAATGTTCAGTATTAATGATATAGCCTATATACCCTCCGACTTTTGGGCGCAGGCCTTGTCTCATTTTTAAAAAGGTTAAAGTGCAATCGTTCACTGCGCTACTCCGGTACATGGTAGCTGGCGGATATATTATTTTATTCTAAGATTCTGTATGTTATAATTATAAATACATACATACATTACAGCCCATTATAATTATAATTATGAAACTTTAACTGTACATAATGTATGCAACGTTAGATACGTTATGTAACATTAATTTAAAATACTAATACATAAATATAAATTTTTAATAAAATTGCGTTTATTGCTGTGTTATCACTGTTTACTAAGTTTTCGATTAATAATGTACAAGGTGAAATTTTGTCAGTCCATTTCTACTTATAAAGCACAAGGAATTGCTTGTGAGGATGGGTTTTTGTGATGGTCATGATAAAGGATAATAAGTAAAATGAATAAAACAAAAAGAAAATGAAATTTTTTTAAAGGTTTAATTCTAAAGGTTCTATTTATGAAAAATAATCTGTAACAGATATAAATGTAGTGCAACTTGTACTAATATAATAGGTCGGGGAAAAAGTTTCTTCGTATTGTGTTTGTATAAAATTGAAGCAAAATGTCTTTGGTTGTACTGTTTGTATCTGGCTGGTTTTAATATCAAAATACACATAATTAATAAAAACACTTTCCCGCCATTTTCATTGGTTTTTTTATCCGTCAAAATGAGTGAATCTAACAAAGAAATTTGACAAATTCTGAAGTTAATAAATTGAGGAAAAACGCCCGAAATTGATCAACAGAAAAGGAGTAGTCTCTCATCACGATAACGCTAGACCACACACATCATTGGTCACTCCGCAAAAATTGATATAGCTTGGTTAGGAAGTGTTAATGCATCCACCATATAATCCTGAGCTTGCACCCTCTGATTTTCACCTGTTTCGGTCTCTTCAGAATTCTTTGTGTAGAGTTAGATTCACATCAAAAGAGGTCTGTCCAAAACTGTTTGTCGCATTTTTTTAAATATAAAATCCAAGATTTCTACAGCAACGGTATTATGTCACAACTGAGATGGCAACAAGTTATCGAACAAAATGACAGATATATATTATAATCAAATTTAATTAAACTTTGAAAAAAAAGTGGCTCGAATTTGTATATGAAAAACGAAGAAACTTTTCCCCGACCTATTAACACATTGGTATTATAACAACGAGGATTAAATTTTTTTCACTCTTTATTTAGTATTTGAATTTAAATTCCCACACATGTCTATATCTGTATTCTACACTATGCAACTACAGATACTGACTTCCATTCGGCATAATTACATCCATATATCAACACATACATGCTTGTCAGTTAAATCAATTATCAACAAGCCAATTTAATTGATAAACTTCTGTCTAGGGTGTCCCATACTGACACTGTTAATCACTTCTGCAGCATAAATTTGCTTTGTCACTAATTCTGCATTCATTCTTTCTATGTCTCCAAACCACCAAAGCATTTCTTTTTAATTCTGGTCATGGCTGGTCAAACCACACTTTTCTCTTATCACAATTTCTCACCCTATCATTGGAGGTCACCCCTAATACTTAATGAATAAATGAAATGAACGAATGACTTTACTCTTATGCTTCTTGTGCCACACACGATTCTTTAACAGATTTCCTTCAAAACAGAGCATTGAGTAAATCAGCAATTATAAAGAAACTACCATAAAATATAAACAATTGTAATACAATAGACTCAATAATTTGAAACTCAAGGGATCAGCGAAAAATTTCAAATTACCAAGACTTTAAAATAATAGGAGTTCAGATAACCAAGAGGGAGGGAGGAAAAATTCAAGTAAACGAGAATTTGATCAAAATTCGTGATTTATTATTTTAAACATTTGTACAATTATTCACAAATGTTCATTTTGAAAAGAGGTCTCTCTCATTTATGTAAACAATCAACAGGTCTGTACATGTATGTAAACAAATGACAGGTCTATGCATGATGAACGCTTCAAATTATCGACAGTAGGGAAGCCCAGACTTCAAATTATTGCATGTTGGCGGGCAAGATACTATTCCTTCAACTTCCGAGGAGACCAATTAATATTGATTTTATTCAATTTATCGAGTATTTTTCAAGGGACTGGGAAAAAAATTCAAAATATCGAGATTCAAATTAACGAGTGTCAAATTATCGAGAGTCGACTGTATTTTCTTATCTTAACAGTTTTCCTGTCCCCCAAACAGGCAGAATAGTTTAACAATTGAAATGTTCATATATGATTCATGGAACAGGGAAAGGGTTAAATGCAGGCTTACATTGTAAAAAGTGTTACTAAATTTTCATATCATATTCTGTAAAATAATAATAAACTTGTATAGTTCTTTTAAAAATAAAATGAAATCAGAAAGAATTTAAACAAACATAGCAGATGACTTACGCTTGACCGAATATAAAACTGATAATGATGCAACATCAGTTGATCAATTAAATATTTGTAACAAAAGCAGAATAATACTTCAAGGATAAATTATTAATAATATACAAATGTCTTACATACTTCATCAATTCCATGAAAATTTTCATTAATTTATGAAATAGGTGTACCACAGAAGGATACTTGGATGTGATCGAATACTCAGAAATAATTGAAATTTGAAATCTGTCACACTACCTCTGGCACCCATATCATGCATCACATGGATACCAAACGCAGAATGAAATAAACGTCACTTAATTCTCAATAGTCAAAACAAGTATTTATAACAATATTGCCATAAATAAAATCTTTATCGGCCTGCTTAAGTCCACTGTTACACAAGAGTTGTTCCCATTGTAGGGAGGACTTGCCTAAATTGTCACACTTCTCATAGAAATAGACAATCACAGTGGTAGACTATTTGCACCTTTGATGCTGTTACTTGTTGAAAAACAAATTTAAAAATAATTATGCTTTATTATTTATTATTGTAGACAAAAGTAATTCTTTTGTTTATAATAATAAGTAGTTATTTAAAAATTATATTACAATTGAAATTATTTTACCATTTCCATTAAACAATTGATTCAATAGAACCAATCACTTGATTTATTTTTGAAGTGGTATGCTTCTAGCCATCATAAGTTTGTCCACAAACTAGCTTATACAAAATGCTTTGTTTTTACTACACAAATGATACTACAACAAATGATAAAAGTAATATAATTTATCATGGGTAAAAATGTAATATATGTATGAGGTTTATAACTACTGACTATATGAGTGGAGGATAATAGTGATGTTGTTTACATTCTTTTGGATTTCATTTTATATGAACTATAAATCATATAATGCATTACAGACAGATTGACAATACAAAACTTGGTTTTTGAAAAAACTACATCCTCATATTTTCTTGTTCTTTTACATACGGACAAACATCAAGTCCCAGAATCGGGTTTTTTGTTGAATTTGAGCCTGTAGCCCTGAGATGTCACATTGAAATGCTTCGCCACATCATTATCAAGCCATCAAAACTATAACAATTCTTCTGATTTACTTATTTACAGGCTATATACGTCACCCTACTGGGCACAGGCCTTCTATCATTTTTGAGAGGATTTTAGGGCAAGGAATTTTCCTAAGCGCTGCCCCAATCTATGTTGGCAAACTTCACATGTCTTTGAAATATTTTTTTCTTATTGCTCAGACACACAGGTTTCCTCACAATGTTCTCCTTCACCATTAAGCACCTGGTAAATAAGCACTTAATATTGCATTAACAATTTCAATGATGCCGGCGGGAAACAAACTCGTAGCTTACGTTCTGTGAAATTTACAGAAAGCCCTTAGGTCTTGAGCTACCATGGCTCTTTTTCTTACCAATTATTGTATAATTTCTTTTCAATTTCACCCTTATAATAACAATATGCTTCCTTAGTGGCCACTGGACCAGCAATTTTTCATAATTTCTACATGTAAAAATAATTTAGAAGTAATAATTTAATTCACACTATGTGGAGCAACCTGCGTCCAATCCCTACCAGCACTAATTAAATTGTTAATTGCTATTGTAATTGCTGATTTACATTAACCTTGGTAGAGAAGGAAAAAAATTATGTGGAAACTAGCATGTCAGATGAATAAAATATATCAAGGACATGATGTGGTGTCTGCCAAAATAAACTGAAGATGCACAGGAGACTAACTGCTCAATAAAGCTCGAAGACATGAGAGGAGGCCCATGAACAGCAGTGGATTGTATATAGGCTCTAACTTTACTACTTTATAAGTAACCATACCTGTAAATTAATATTGTTTTTGGAACAAAGTTCCTTATCGGACGGTACGGGTTTAGTGCAGGGGAGCTAGGTGACAAAAAGTGTAAGATTTTTTCGTCACTACCTCTTGTGTCAGTGTATTTTATTTTAAATGACACTTCATTTTAATAGATGCTAATAATTAATTTATTTATATTTGTTAATCAATAATATAATA